TGGGGGATGGTGATACAGTTTGGCTGTGAAGAAGGGCAGAGACCAGAGAACCTGACATGTTCCAGAAGAAGAAGATGGTAAAGGCACTTGTGGTGAAAGGCTGTCACCTTGAAAATGAACAGGTTTTCTGTGTAGGAGATAGTTTATCTTCAATAAAAGTAAGCAGAGTTTATCTTCTGAGGTCAGCAGGGCTTCAGGGATTGGGGTAAAATGCAAATTGTTGTCAGAAACTGTAGTATTGCAATGGCTCCAAACTATTTCAAAGCAAATCTACTGGGTCATATCAGCAAAAAATGGCAGGGTCATAACTCTGGAGCATTGCTCTTCCACCCAGGCAATAACTACGTCACCCCAAGTGTACATTTTTAGAACTCTGAGACTCAGTATGAACAATGAGAGGAGAGCTGCTGAACTTCAGGAAGAGAAAGGTTGGCATCTTAATTTCCTTGCGTACCACCGCATTCCTAGCTGGCTAGTGACCACTGAACCAGAAGCAAGCTCAACAGCCCTTTCCTTGAAGAACTGTCTTTTGTTTTTTTAGAAATCAGAGGAGTGCAAATCCAAACCACTTTGAGGCTCCATCTCATTCCAGCCAGAATAGCTTTGATCAAGTAAACAAACTACAAACACTGATGTGGATGTGGGAAAGAGGAAACTTTATTCACTCACTGCTGGTGAGAGTGTAAACTGCTGTGCTTACTATGGAAATCAATATGGAAGTAGTGCTACTAAGTGATTCCGCTATATCACTGCAAGGCATATGCCCCAAGTACTCAATATACAACACTGATATTTTTGCACATCTATGTTTATTGCTGAATTATTCAAAATAGCCAGGATTGAAAAGGGTATAGATTCTATTAACAGATTAAGGTAATAAAAATGTGGTGTTATACTTGCTTCAGAGCACTCACCTGTCAGCTTACAATAATCATTCAATTAGATGTTTGCTGGGAGGGATCTCTCCCACCCTCGATTTTCTTCCATTTTTCTATAAAACTTTGTTCCAATGAGGCTTCAGGGTTGCTTTCCCAAACTGTGCTGTGGGTCGGAAGTGAGTAAGTTTAAACTTGAGTTTGTAATAAAGACACCCTAAAGTTATTACTTCAGAAATGGCTCCTTGGTGGTCTTTTGGGGTTCATGACTGCTTCCTAGCACAATAGGAGACCATGAGTAGGGAACAGGAAGTACTGAGAATGTGAGAAGAATGTCACATGTGACCTGGGAGTGGAAAGAATACTATGTACTGGGGGTGGGACAATGAAAGGGAGGGTGAGCAAGAGGCATGTGGGGAGGAAAACAAGACACATTTTGTTTGAAAACAGCCATGCTTAAACATAATTCTTTGTATGAAAATAAAAATAAGTAATTTTATTTTTGTATTTGATTGTCTGGTGGTTTTCAGGCATCTGGTTTTATTGTTTCTACTTCAGAACCATTGCAGGGCTGAAGCAGCCTCTTGAGTGGATTTGTAAAACCCCACTTACAGGTAGCTATGTGGGTGAGGAATTCAAAATCTATGATAAGCAGGAGGGAGACCAAAAATAGGGAAGGGAAGAACCTGGGGACTGGGATAAAGCAGGGTTTGAGGTGGCATTAATTCTGAAAACTTCCCATACATGCAGGGGATTTGAAACTCTATCAAAAAGAAAGGAAGAAAGAGTGAAAGAAAGAAAGAAAAAAGAAAAAATAGAAACTCTGCCAACATACCTAAGCCTGAACACATGCTCTGAAAAGAGCTGAGAAGGCCCTGGGTGGTCCCCTATGGCTTACATTCAGGCAAGCAGAAAATGAAATACTAGGTAGAAGTGCAAAGTCTTTAAGAGATACCCAGGGATCACCTGAAAAGTGGAAAACACTTTTTTGAGATATAGTTGTCCAAGAAATCTTTCTCAAATCAGTAGCAGATTACCAAGCTAACAGAAATGTCAGCAGGCCCAAATAACAAGGCATGTAACCTTAAAAATTAATTTAGAAAATTCAGTAGACAACAGAGAAGAAGTCACCACCAGCAACAAAAATCGTAAGAGAGAGAGGAAAGAGAGAGGTGTGGGGGTTGTTGGAGAGAGAAGGGGAGAGTAGGGGAGAGATAGGAAGAAGACAAAGAGGAGGAGGAAGAAGAAGAAGAAAAGAAGAAGAATCATGTAAACTCTAGTCAGCTACATTATGATATAATATGCAAATGTTTATTTTTAAAAATTAAAAATGAGAAACGCAAAGAAACAGCAAACATGGCCTACATATAGGGAAGTATAAAATGTCTCTACAGAAATACATATAACTTAATCATTGAAAAAGATTAATTTAAGCATTTTGAGTATGTTCAAAGAGATGAAGAAAACTACAGGTAGAGAAACCAAAGCAGAGGAGTGCAGTTTCCTCCAAATAAAAGACCAAGTGTGAGAGAACCTAATAGATATTCTGGAGCCGGGGAGAACAGTCCCTAAGCTAAAAGTCTCTCGAGATACTGTAGAGAGAATCTGAATATGCCAAGGAAGCAGAGGGCTTGTTGAGAGGAAGCACCCTGGATGCTGTGGGAAAGCATCTGGAGAACGATGATGTGCAATGGTCAGTCAGAAGGAATGGACACAGAGAAAACAGTGGAATGAAATTTGAAGAAAGGAAAACAAAATTCAAGCTTGAGAAAGACACGACTTTTCACACTTCAGCCATCCAAGGATCTCTGCATATTATAAGCATAATAAATCCACACCATGTTACATCATAACCAAGCTGTCCAAGGACAGAGGGACTCTTAGAAGCTGTTGCAAAGGGAAGCTCATCACATACAAGGTACTTTTACATAATAAACATGAGCTATGAAGGCAGAAAGACAGCAGGATGCTGAATGTAGACAGCTGTAGGGAACAAACCATAACCCAATTCCACACCTGGAAAATATACCCTTCCAAATGAAGAAGAAATTAAGACATTTCCAGATAAACACTCCCCGCTCATCATTCAAAAATCAAAGAAGAAATAGCAATACTGGTGAAGACAGCCAGCATATAAAAGTATCAATTAAGAAGATAATTATGCAAAGAAACAGCAGTAAGTCTATCCTAATTTATTGCACATGTAAAAAGTTATTAGTGACAATAACAACATGAGGAGAAAAGATGAACTTATGCCCAGCTGAAGTTTTCCTGACTATAGAAGCTAAGTTGACATTAAGTCAAAGTAGCTGGTTATAAATATATACTATTAAAATTTGTTTTTTAATTAAAATATACATATGTATGTTGCCTGCATATACATTATAAATATATCATATATTACTGGTGCCCACATAGGACAGAAGAAAGTGTCAGATTCCCTGTGACTGGAGTTACAGGTGATTGTGATCAGCTGTGTGGGCTCTGTGAACTGAAACTGGGCTCTCTACAATAGTAGCTAGTGTTCTGAACTGCAGAGCCATCTCTCTAGCCATATAAATTTAACTTTAAATACAGTTTTCAGCATAACCAAAACCCCAAAAGGAAAATGAGACAGAAAATAATACTAGAAAAAATCACATAAAAAATAATTAAAAGGAATTGAGTTGTATGCAACTGATGTATAAGACAGAGAGAACACATGTGAAAAAGCAGCAAAAATAATGTAAAATTATGGTATTGATTAAACTTATAAGGTATAAATGAATAACTTTTGATCAAAGATAAAAATTGGTTGCAAAGGAAAGAATGGAAATATACATTTATGTAAAGAGTAACCTTCTTAAAGAATGTGTCAGACAAAATAAAGTTTAGGTAAAACATAAAATTTATGAAGAGACAAAAGGATGTTTCATACTGATAAAAGGTGAATATCAAAGCAATAAGTTATAATCTTGTAACTAAATATATACACACACATATATATACATATATATGTACATATATCTGTATATATTCACACACACATACATAACAACAGAAGTCCAATGCATGAAGTGAAATTTGGTAGGATTGAAAGAAAATAATGTTACATGGATTCGTTGAAACCTTATTTTTTAGTAATAGCTAAAACAACTGGATAAACCATCACTAGGCAAATAAAAGGTTATACAACAATTTAGACTGATTAGCACCAATAGACAGAAACATAATTTCTCCCCAAAGAGCAGAATTCAATTCTCTACTGCACATGTAATAGTTCTCAGAATATACCATATATTTATCACAATGATGATAACAACAGTGATGACTAGCAGGTCAGCTAACCATCTCATGTGCTGCTGATCTGAACAGAGAGAAAACACCTGTGAACACACAGCTCTAAATGGAATATCTCCATCAAATTCCTCCCTGCAGAGCTCATGGAGCCTCATATGAAAAGTATGTGGAAGAGTGTAAGATCCAGAGGGAATGGAGGCCACCAGGAGAACAAAGCCATCTATATCAACTAATCAAGAACATATTATCTCACAGAGACTGAAGCAGCAAGCACAAACCTACAGGGATCTGCAACAGGTCATTTGTGGATGTAGTATAGCTTTCAGGTTAGCATTTTTATGAGACTCCTGAGTAGTGAATGACGGTGGTCTCTGATGCTTATGCCTTTTCTTAGGGTTCTATTCCTTCTGTTGATTTGCCTTGTCCAGCCTCAATGTGATTGTTTTTGTTTTATCCTATTGTATCTTATTTTATTATGTTTTGTTATCTCTTAGCAGCTTGTTCTTTTCTAATGAGAGACAAAAAGGGAGTGGATCTGGATGAGAGAGGAGGTGGGGAGGAACTTGGGGGAATAGAGGGAAGAGAAACTGTAATCAGAATATATTGTATGAAAAATGCTGAGGTTTGGTCTGTTCTTATGTAATTATTGCTATGTAACATTGTAATATTAAATACTGTCCCTGGTTACCTCTGGGATGTGGAGAGCCTCATGTACATGAAGTGATGTGATGTAACCTTGCCCCATCCAAATTGTCCCTGATTGGTCAATAAAGATGCCTACAGCCTATAGCTGGGCAGAAGAAATGTAGGCTTCGGATTGTTGGGTTTGAATTCTGAGCAGAGATGATGAGCAGAGAGCAGAGAGGTGAAGAGAGAGGAGAAGTCACCATGGGGTAAGTGAATCATGAGAACATGGCCTTGAGGGCTGCCCAAGTGAATAAGAGTGGCCCAGGCAGAACGTGGTTATCTCAGGGTTATTGACAGGGAAGTAGACAAAATAGCACAGAGGGCTGATATCTGCCCAGGGCTTTAAGGCTATTATAAATATAGAGCTTTTAGTGTCTTTTATGTGGGAACTGAATGTTCCAAGGAGGGGTAGAAACCTCTGGATAATTTTAGCACAAACAGAAAAAGAATTTCTCTCTCTCTCTTCTCTCTCTCTAATCTCTCACCTATCTCTCATCTATCTATCTATCTATCTATCTATCTATCTATCTATCTATCTATCTACCATCTATCTATCCATCTACCAATCATCTATCCATCATCTATCTTTTATCTATTCATTTGTTTATTTATGTGTTATTTATTTTTGGTTCTTCAAAACATTGTTTCTCTGTATAGTTATCATGGAACTTTCTCTGTAGACCAGGCTAGCCTCAAACTCAGAGTTTCATCTGATTATTTCTCCTGAGTTCTAGAATCCAAAGCATATGCCACTGCTACCTGACAAACAGCATGTTTTTAATGAAAAGGGGAAAAGTATCATCCTGCAGATAACCATGTCTTGTGAGCCATGCCTCATGTAACATGTAGGGTTATTTAAACTATACAATCCTTGAGGCCTCCCCACTCTGCCTTGATTTGCACACAGCAGCTGTACTCCACAGCTCCAGCTTCCTGTTTCCCTGTTGTTGGGTGCAAGGCTGTGTGACCCTGCACAGTAGGTTTCTCTTTCTTTGAGCTGTAAGTGGAAGTTCTGTCTTTCAGCTCTCTCAGTGTCTTTCTACTGTGTTTTGTCATTTGCAAGAGTCTCTAAATTATTTAATACAGGAAAAAAGAAGCTGGTCCTTGAAAATTTTCTGACTTCTGGACATCTCTGTTGTTTCTTAATTTGCAGAAGAAGCACACCGTTGTCTTTGCTTTTGTCTTCCCACGAATGTTTTTCTCGATGCATGGCAATGTCCATTTTTCTTTTCATAGGTGTGCCAGTTACACTGGACTAGGGCCTAGCACTGTATAGTTTCATTTTAACTATTTGTAGAGTAAATGAGTTTATTTATTTATTTTTTAAAAGACCACATTCTTTAGTATTAGGACAATGTTTTAAAATAAAAGGGAGATGGCAGGCAGCAAGTTAACTGTCTACAGGAAGTATTTATTTAAAGTCTCACATTATTCTTTTATTTGTAGATATGTAGATAAGAAATGGGTGCATATCATGAACCCTGACTCTTATCTGTCAGGAGCAGGCTATTGATAAGGTTTTAGTATCCCCGTGGGGAGAGAAGTGACAGGTCCTTCTCCACTCAGGGATCGTATGCTGGATTTGACTGTGAGATTGTTAGCTCCACGTGAGGGGAGAGAGTATGCCAGAGAGACGTAGGGTTTGACATTCAATTGCTCTTTAATGATACACAATAAACAATATATTATAACCAATGCTAAAGCTATTGCCACAACGAGATATTGCTACATTTCTTATGCATTGCCTCTATCAATATCGGCACAATGAACACAAATAATAAATTGCTAATTACAGAAGAAATAAGCATAGCAATAAGTACATTATTCATTCATGGATTATATGACCTGAGTCCTTATGAGGTTTTCCATTACAGGGTCCTGAGTCTGAGAAGGAGGGGTCAGGCTGAGGCTTCCAGCTAGTTGAATTGCTAATTTGACCTCTTAGGGTGCTTGACCACGAAGTGCAGGCATTGCTCTCTGGGTTAACTCTTTGATGATCAGGAGCTGAGGAAGCTTGGAGGATCATGCTAGTCAGTCATGGTTATCAGTGTGCTGCGATCAGGCTCCTCTTTTATGTTTGATTTGGCATTACTGTTGACATGCACAGCAGATAACCACTCATGTTTGGTTATCACAGCAAAACTTCACTTCCAGACTTGTCTCTACAAGTACCAGACTTGTCTCTACAAGTACTTTACTTCTATACTTGTCTCTACAAGTTTCCTATTACAAAATGGAATCGGTCCTTGTTAGGGGCCTGCTCCTTACAGCGCAGGTAGATACCAAAAGGTATGTGTAAATCAATAATTATCATAGAAGCTTTATATATGTTAGTCACCAAATAGAGCTGTTGCAGTTCAAATCATAGAGAAACTGATGAATAAATTACCATATATTCTTTGGTAAGTCCAAGCCAGCATACAGGGATGAACTCAGGGAAGCATTTCATTTACGTGAAGCTCATTAACCAACAAAATGAGCAAATGCCATAGGTGTTAGAGCTGTGTTTGCTTCTTGAGAAGCAATACCAAGGAAAGGCATGTTGGGAGTTTTGAGTCACAAAACCACTACCTTAGTTTGGTAAATTTGGAAATGCTTGTCCAGGTTCATGTAGATGTACAGATTCATCAGCTATACACATAAGGTTTGCTCATTTTCCTGTATATGATTTACCATTTAAAAACTACTGCTTTAAAAGAGAATTGCCATAAACTGTATCTTAATGTTTTAATTCCATGAGAGAATGAATGAATGATGCTTTGACTTCTCTCTTTATCTTTCAGCAAACATCAGTACCATTTTCTTCTGTGCAGGCTTAGTCATCCAACTGGAGGCAGACTGGAGATGAAGATAAAGATAGGGGAAATGAGAAAGAAAAGTCAATCTTAAATCGGTTATCTGTGTAAACAAATTGACCAAGGTGTAGTCACTGAGTCCACCCAGGAAGTTATGATGTGTATTTAGCTAGATTCCATTCCAGATGCATGCGTTGGGGAGGACTCCTGCTTTGACCTTGCTGGTCTTTACTGATATTTTGATGTCTGGTAAGTTTGACATTCTGAAATTTTAGGAAATGAAATTGTCTTTGAGGTTAACTTTGGACTATGATAATCTTCCTGCCTCTGTCTCTCCTGATTCCTTGAATTACAGGCATGCACCTTTGTTGCAGGCTAATAGGACCAATTTACCACTACCATTTACTCTTAAGTTGATTATTCTTAATAAATAGGTTTTCAACAAAAATTTTCTACAAATACCAAAGCGATTATTCCATTAGTCATTGTCATGCATTTCAAATGTGTGACTGCCTCAAAAATAAATGCTTCAGTAGATTTCCTGTTTCATCTTTACAGTTGACACGCATTGAGAGAGAAAGGAGGAGGTTGGTGGGGGATCTGAGAAAGGAAACCTCCAGAGTAAATTGGAGGCTCTGAGCTTAGCTAGGAGGGGGCAGTCCTTCTCCACTACAAGGGAAAGGAAGATGATGTGGTCTGGATGCAGGCCAGTGTGTGAACTGGTGCCACAGATTATGGAATCTTTCTTACAGCATTTGTAGTAAAAGTGTTGGAAGTTACTAGTAGAAAGGGGAACCAGAGTCTAAATTAACCCTTATGAGGACAGGACAACCGAGCTACAGTGCTAGAGCTCTCTGCCTTAGCTCTGCCTTTCCAGAACCATAGTCCTTTATTTATACATTATGCTTTCAGGTTTTGTGTTTTTATTGGATTTCTGGTCATGATAATGTGTGTCTCTGTGCTTAGATGTATTTCTAATGATGGTTTTATCCCTTTGTCCCCCATTTGTTTTTAGATTATCTTATTTTATTATTATCATTTAGATGTCTACTCTTTGCTTTCTGATGAGAGAGAGCAAGAAAGGGTGTGGATTTGGGTAGGTGTGGAGGATGTAGGAGGAGTTAGGGAAGAGGAACTGCAATTTTAATCTATTTTATGAAAGAATTTATTTTCAATTAAAATCAAGAGACTGTAGCTTTGTGGTTTATAATACATTCACTATTCTGAAGAAAGGAAAGAAAGAAGAAATGCTTTCTTCCATCATCAGCCCCTCTCCTTGCCCACATCTTTCCCAGTCCACCAAATCCCACTCATGCTTTCATGTCTTGGGTTCATTTTGCTTTCACATGCAACAACATGTGTCACTCACCTTGCTGTACCTGGCTTACTCTGTTTAATATCGTGTCTTCTGATACCATCCTCTTTCTAGCTGATGACAGATTTTTGTTGTTGTTGTATACTTTTTTGTTCTTAATTGAAGATTTTCTATACTTTCGTTGTCTGATATTTACATAGGTATTCTTTGCTTTTGTTTGAAATATACATTTATAATTAGTCCAATTTTACTATTAAAAACACACTAGCACTTCATAGTAGTGTAGATATCTTAGGATAACAAACAAATCTACTTTTTCTTTCCTGTGTCTTTAATTATTGTATGCAAATTATAGAAGTATTATAGGTCAATGTTTCAGAAGCTGATTATGACTCTTTTTTTCTTACTAAGCAGTGTATGTATTCCAGGTTGGCCTCCAATTCATGATATGGCCAGCTGCTCTGACATCATGATTCTCCTGTTTCTCTCTCTGTGCAACCAATCCTGGTTTCTGACCATTATAATTGTAAACATTTCTACAGAACTTAAGGAAGGAATGGAAAGAGGAAAGACCTCTCATCCTTCTTCTATCCTGTTATGCTTCATTTCTTCTGTTCAATCACAAGGTAGAACAGCTGGAAGGAAGCAAGAGGATGAATTTTTTGTGATTCTGTTTCTATAGATTTTGGACAATGGCTCTGTCTCTTCATCTGTGGGAAGTGGTTATTATTGGTCCAAATAGCTTTACATAGGGAATAAGATCTGGAGAAAGGGTTTAATCAAGTCAGATTATGTTTTATGCCTACACTGGACATAGCAAGGGGCTGGAAGAAGGAAGGCAGTGCTACTGTATACCATTGGGCAAAATAAAGTTACTCACGATTGGGAAACAACTAATTAATATCTTTTATATGCAATATTCAAGATGTTGACATATTAGTGGTGATAAAACTTCAAGTTACTATCTTATAATCATTTAAATATTTAAACACTCACATTTAAGTATTTTCCAGGGTCATGTTGTGTGGATAGGAATCAACCAACGCAGACAGGTTCATTTATGATACAAGGTAATATTCTTACTTATCTTATAGGAATGGAGAGTTGACCTTGCTTAGAAACATTATCTAATGCCTTGGCTGCTGGACAGATTTAGGATGAGTAGCAGAGTCTGGTGATTTAGTATTATGGTGTGAGAGAACCTGAATGCCTGCCTCTAAACCTTTGCCATCTTAGAGTGAGTGGTGGGAAGACTGTGGCATTAGCATCCTCCTATGTCTGTGTTGAAGAATTTCTTTCTTCTTCTGATTAGGTGACCTTTATTTGAATGTGAATTGTGAGGACTGAGTTTCCCAAAGAGGCAAGTGATATTGAAGTAGGACAGTGGAGATGTTAATGCAATATTTATCATAAGGAAGCCTTATTTGAAGCAAGGTCTGTTCCTGCTAAAGGGATGACATTACTGACTTTTGTCACAAGTGATTGTGACAGTTAATTTTGTTTAGTAATCACCACTTAGCAAACTTGTATCCACTCAAGGATGATTTAAGTCAGTATATAAGCAATGTGTGGATTTATCGTGCAAGATGTGCATAGCCCACATGTGTGGACCTTTATTTTAGACAATGAATTATGTATTCAATTTTGATAGATTGTACATACAGAAACAAAGAAATGTGAGAAAAAGCCGCTATTGCTGAAATACTTTGATTGGTCAAGCAGCGTTCTAGTGTAACTTCATATAAGTTACTGTGGATAGACCTAACTCACAAGGTTTCCTTTTCTCATTCTCTGTGTGTTTGTCCATCCATATAGACACTACAGTGTCTGTACAGATGGGTATAAAGGCTCTGCTCTGCTGCCCTTCTGTTTCACTGACAAAAGCAGTATTAATAACATGGATAATAACCCCCAGAGGATGGCCTTCCTGCATAATAGCCTACAGAGTAGAAACAAGGGAGACCAATGAAACCACCTGTAGGAACAGGAGCATCACCTGGGCCTCCACACCTGACCACAGTCCTGACCTTCAGATCAGTGCAGTGGCCCTCCAGCATGAGGGGCATTACTCATGTGAGATAGTAACACCTGAAGGGAATTACCTAAAATTCTCTGACCTCCAAGTGCTGGGTAAGTTCAATGTCACATATTGTGCTATTTCAGGTCATCAATTTTAGTTAGAAAAAAATGTCCTTGTGATTTGTGACAAGACTGAATGTTTATTTCCTTTCCATCTCTACAGTCCCCCCTGAAGTAACCTACTTTCTAGGGAAAAATAGAACTACAGTTTGTGAGGCAATTGCAGGCAAGCCTGCTGCACAGATCTCTTGGACTCCAGATGGGGATTGTGTCACTAAGAATGAATCACACAGAAATGGCACTGTGACTGTCAGGAGCACATGCCACTGGGAGCACAACAATGTGTTTGCTGTGTCCTGTTTTGTCTCTCATTCTGCTGGTAACCAGACTCTGTTCATAGAACTGAATCAAGGTGAGTACCTTTTTTTAAAAAGGAGAAATAATTGATATTTAATTTATTCTTCCATGAAAGATAAATGTTTTAACTTTATTCGGTTTGTTGTAAATAGAGTAGCTAAAACCTGTTTAGGGAAAGAAAGAATAAAATCAGGACAGCAACTGAAGCAGAAAACTTGAAGCTGTTTGCGAGCTCCTGAGACCTGCCCTAACCTGTCTCACCTGGAGAGAGGTTGCTGCTGCCCATAGTGTGTTGGCCTCTAGGGTGACTCTAGGCTGTGTCAAGTTGATAGAGTTAACTAGGACAACAAACACACTTCAGACACTAGCAACAAGTTTCGTTATCACCTGTCCTTCTTATCAACTAGCTATAAATTCTGGATGTTTCCATAATTCACACATCAGGTTCAGTGATTTGCTAAAATGGTTCACCAAACTGAAGAAGACACCTTGTTTGCTTTACTGGTTTAATATAAAGACTCCAACACAGAGATAGAAAAATTGAAGAGATTCATAGGACCTTTTATGGAGGAAGGAATATAGAGCTTTATGCCATCTCAAAGATTTCTATGCTTCCAGGTCCTAGATGTTATCCCCATACAGAAGCTCCTCAAACTGTACTATTTAGGATTTATATTAAAATTTTGTTATATAATCATGAGGGTTAATCCTTGATCATTGGTGATTAACTCAATATCCAGTCATTCTTTCTTCACAAGATGTTAAGTGGTTATGATTGTGGCAGTATAGGGCTTCAATTCCTAACTCTCCAATTACAATTTAGTCTTTCTGGTGATAGCCCCTAACTATGAAGCTCTCTAAGATTTTCTAGACCCCAGTCATTTTATTGGCATACTAAAGATATTTTTACTTTGTTGGCAATTCTTTTAGGACCTATCTTTCAGTAGATGGAAAACAAAGACCATATATGAATTTCATTTTTTAATTTTTAGTATTTTTTGATATATTGTCTCTATAAACACTCCTGGATGTCTTACAACTTGTAAATATGTTCTGAGTATCAATTTACATCACTGTACCTGTATTAGTGCAACTCTCATATCTCTTTAGAAAAAATTTCTTTTTTCAGAGAAAAGTGATTAAAGCAGAAACTCTCAACTTGTCAAGGAAGAAAAAAGCAGAAAGATTGTAAAAGTCACCAATCAGGGAAAATCAGAGAAAAAGTCATTTGGACATGACAGAATCTCTGAATTCACAAACTCATAGCAATGGAGTTTTCTGTAGAGGACCCAAACAAGACCAAGCCAGTCAATACTCCAACACAGAATGGAAAGGGACTCATGAGTCCCTGCTCTGCCAACTGAGGAGCTCTGGACAGTTAATGGTTTCTTGAGGAGAGAAAGTCAGTTATCTCTAAGGGTATTGCATCTAGTAGGCTCCATCCCAGGAGCATATGGACAATATAACCTGAAGCCAATGAGCTATTAAAAAATAGATACAAAGTTATTGAGGTAACAAAGTGCAGTATTGATTTGGCAGGAGTTAGAGGAGGGTTCGATGTGAATTTAATCACAATACTATGTATGAAATTCATACTTTTTTTTTAAATGAAAAGGAAATATTCTTTTCAAAAGAACATTTTTTTTGTATAAAAGATGGATCATAGATGCACTGCCGACAGAGAACTTGGAGGATCTTAGCTGATTGAACCTGAAAACATCTTCCCAAAGGAGTAACTTTCCTAGTCACCAAAGAGGCTTTGCAAGCTGAACAAAGAGGGGAGCATCAGGTAGTACCACCTAGCTGTGAAGCTTATGAACCACAGCAATGACCAGCAAGGTTGGTCCCTAAGGTTTGATAGTGGCAATCAAATCTTGGCAGCAACCAACACTTGTCTAATTGGGTTTAAGGCTCACTCAAGAGGAGGAAAATCATAGCTGGTACTGAAGACCTTGCTAGTGACTCAAAGTGTTTGTGAGGGCATTGATGTCAGAGAGGAATCAGTCATAGCCCTCCTCTCATTCACCATAATGCCTAACTTCTACTCTATACTCACTAATAAGCATGGCTCTTAACCCGTAACAAAGAAGCTCCTATTTGTAATAGAAAACATCACAAAAAGCCACAAATGGTCAAAATGCAGAGAACACAGGTCATGGGATGTTTAGCTCCCATGGATACATGCACAACACAGCTCTTACTTTTAATGCTCAGGGAATATTGTAGAATAGGGGACAGAAACAGTATAAGAGCTAGAGAAACAGGAAACCTGTGGAAAGATTGTGTCTCCTAGAAATGTCAGGGAAACTTCCCCTATGAAACCTCAATAATATAGCTGCCTAAACAAGACGTAAACAATAGATATGCAAACATGGAAGAGGAAATCTCACTGGGCCTTGAATTTCGATGAAGAACTACAGTTAACTAAGGGTGCTAAGAGTGGGAGAAGCAGTCTTCTTTCAGGGATGGGCCCCTAATTGGTATTTTCATATCCTGTATAAATATGCAACAGTAACACTTTATAAAGTGGATGAAGCCAGGAATTTGAGAGGGAGCATTGGTAGGTGGTGGGACCTGGGGGATGGTGGAGGAAGGAAGAAGACAGGATGGATAATGTAGTTATATTTTCCTAAAATGGAAATTCGCATGTTTCACCTATTTAATTGTATGTTTTAACAATATTTAGTGTGCATTTCTTCATTTTAAAATATTTGTCAATGCCTATCAATCACAAAATCTAGACTTGATTCTTGAGCTTGATCCTGAAATCCTATTTCAATTTACGTTGCGTTTGACCTGATCATTTCCTCTGGTAAATGGGGTATGAGATATTTTTAGGAGGTATATTTTTCTTTTGTTATCTAACTTATCTGTGGAAATGCAGTATTGATGTGGTGTCTGGCATTCCCAGAGAATCCCCAAAAAATATGAGCTGTATCTGAATTATACTTCATAAGGTTTTCTTATTTTAGTATTCTCTAAATTTTAGGACCATTTTTAAAAGATTTTAAAGATTTTGCCTTTAATTTCTTGCTTAGAACAATTATTGAGCTGTCCTGACATTTTGCCCTTGCCTATATTTGAAGGTACCACCAGCACCCCATCTTCCTTGCTGACCATTCTCTATGTGAAAATGGCCCTTTTTGGGATTATTATTCTCATCGTAGGATTTACTTTCCTCAAGAAGAGAAATTATACCAGGTAGGACTGAAAACTAATGTATTAAGACTCATTAGAAAGAAAACATTGTTATAAGTTTGAGTTCACAGTGGACTGGGGAAATATGTTATGTGTCCCTGCCATGGGCGCTCCTTCAGTCCTTCTGCAGCAAGTCTTTGTGAACAACAGAGCCCAGGCACAGGTGTTTACAGCTCTGGTGAGAGATTCTACCTTGCTACAGTTCTGACCTAGGAGGGACCTACATTGGCCCCATCACTGAAAGATTCTGTAGCAGAATTGAAGTTGCTGAAACATTATAAGTGTTTGTTTACAAGTTTATTGACTTATGTTTATTCTGGCTTAATTGTTACATATGTAATTTGTTTTTGTGTATTTCTAGAACATGAATATCCATATTTCTGGAAGTCCATTATTCTGAGGATACAATACAAGAAAACAGCCATTTGCAATCAACTTTCTCTTTGAAATCCAGATTACCTGTCTTTGCTGTCTTCATGTTTGTTAGAGTTCATCTCACAGTTGGCAGTCATACAGTATGACCATATAGGCAAAAGCTTAGTGCTTACCATCAAACATGCCCTGAATGACCCATCTACTCTCTCCGTTCTCTACTTCTCAGGCCACAGGAAAAAAAATGGCTTAGGAAAAAGTGAATAAGAGTTCTGGGTGAATTTTCTTCACTTAAGTCCCCCAGGAGTGGCTTCCATAAACTTCTTGTTCCTAGGCTCGTTTTAGATGATTATCAAAGTTGCATTGTCAGTACAATGACCAGCAACATCTTCAAGTCAGCCACCAGCTGCTGGCCTTCTTTCCTTGCTTGCTTTCTAGCAAGTAATATGACAGTTGCCTTTTGTATTAATCATTGAATACATAACTAAGATTTATTTTCAAAAATCAGTATCTCTGTACTTTAGGGAATGTTAACAGTTTTATCCCAGAGAAGTCACTGTCTGTATCATGGGGATAACACTGAGATTCCACTTACTGTTTAAAGTCCTAGTGTCTAAATTCCATTTGCAGTCTGCATTCTGCCTTATAGGGGGTGGGATGAAATCATCAAGGGTAAGGGTAAGACACTGGTGAACTGTAACAACTGTAAACTGAGACCTTGTCTTCACTGGATACACATAGTATTGCTATAATAAGAGTATGTTTTTAGCTAAAAGAATTATATCTTAGATAAAGTGATTGGGGCTATTTTATTTTTAGTGAAAGTCTATGGAGAACATGAGTGCCCAATATTAGAAGATGCCAGGATGATAGCTGGTGGTGGTAATTGAAAGGTTAATTCAGCGCATGTCATACTGTAATGTAGTGGATGATGTCAGTGTAGTTGATAAAAGTGTGTTGCTCTATGATACTCTTTTATTCTATGATCCTGTTTTCAGAGTAGTTTCTACTCAGGTGGTGGCTACGGAGAGTAGAGGATTATATGTGGGATAAATATGGACCAAGCCTGGAGTAGGAAACATATCTGCGCAGATTCAACTGACTAATACTTAGTCATATGATCACCATAGTCAGCTTTTCCTTAGACACCTGAGCAAGCTCAATCAAGTTCATCAGACAAGAGTCTGTGTTGGAGCCTCCTGGCCTGCAGTGTGTTGAAATGAGACAGAGTAGGACTCTGGTGTGTCTTTAAATACTGATGGTCTCTGGATGTTCTAGCTTTGTAACTATACTGAATACTGATGATAACTTCGAAAAGTCCTAAAAACTTTCCTGCTCATTCTGAGGGTTAAAAGCTATTGTCTTTATCTAAGGTTCCTCTGTTTGAGTCCTGAGAGTCTGTTACCTCCCAGTTGTCTGGAACATTCTATAGGGTCCCCCAACTCCTACCTCTTGAGTTTGCCTGTTTCCCTTCTTTCTGCTGATCCTAATGGCTTCAGTCCTGCTTCCAAGGCCCCCCAATACCTGATCGTGTACCCCTTTTCTCCTCCCAATCCCTTCTCCTACTCAGGTCTCTTCCTCCTTCTGCCTACAATGATTGCCTTTTGCTTTCTCCCAAGTGGGATTGAGGCATCCTCACTTGGGTCCTTCAGCTTGTTATCTTTCTTGAGTTCTGTGGATTATATCCTTGGTATTCTGTGCTTTTTTGGCTAATACACACTTATTAGTGAGTTCATCCCATGCGTGTCTTTTTATGTCTGATTTACCTAACTCAGAATGATATTTTCTAGTTCCATTCATTTACTTGCACAACTCATGATGTTTTGGTTCTTAATAGTTGAGTAGTATTCCATTGTGTAAATGAACCACATTTTCTGTATCCATTCTTCTGTTATGGGACATCTGGGTTGTTTCCAGTTTCTCACCATTGAAAATAAGGCTGTTATGAACATTTACATACATCATATTATATAAAGCATATACTATACCCGTTGTGTTATTTATTTTCTAGTGAAGACCTTGAAAGTTAAGACTTTAAGTTAAAGTTAAAATTAAGCTAAATTAAAGTTAATACTTGCTCATTCACACCAAGAAGACATGATAGGACTAAGTTACAGTAACTCAATCCTCAAACATATTATTCTCATGACACATTTCTACTATTTCTTTTTAGATGGTGGATTAATTTTTAATATAGTAAACAAATTTATAACTTGAGTTAAATTTTAAAATAACACAAAATGAACCATTAAATTCTTTGCTTCTCTAGAAGCTAAATATTTGCACCCAGTTTTGTATGCCAATGTAGTTTTTATGTTTTTACTTACATCTTCCCAAAATTATTGTGTAAAAATATAACAGAAGTATAGAAGGAAGGCAAGAAACAATGATGACTTTTTTACTTCCTCCAATTTTTTTTGTACCTTCAGTAAAATTGAACAATGCAGTTTTGACAGCAAAAACAGATATAACTGTTTACTTCCTACCCCCTCACACACCCCAAATAAGCTGCTGGTTTAGGAGATTAACACCTGTAGCCTAACAGCTGGGGAATTAATGTGGCCTTTGTTCTATTTCTGCAGGAATTGCAAGGCTATAACTTTCAGCCTTCTAGTTGAAGTTGCAGGAAAGACACTTTTTTTTGTTTGTTTGTTTTTGAGACAGGGTTTCTCTGTATAGCCCTGGCTGTCCTGGAACTCACTCTGTAGATCAGGCTGGCCTCAAACTCAGAAATCCGCTTGCCTCTGCCTCCGAAGTGCTGGGATTAAAGGCTTGTGCCACCACTGCCCAGCAAGGAAGGACACTTTGAAAAGTGAATTTAGTGTTTATTTCTAAGTTGTAAGAAGTTACCTATGAATGCTCTCTAAGAAAAAGGGGAGAGCAGAATGATCCGACGTGGAACAAGGAAAAGTTCACATACCTCTCCTTGTCTTCAGCACTTATAAACCTTTCAGAATTCATGATCACATGGTAAAAATTTCATCACAAGTTTACAGATAAATTCAAATTATAAATTGAATAAGAAATATACAACAGAGAATGTTTACATGCATATCCATTAGGAGTAATTATCTGGCTAAACATTCATCACCTGCCACAGCTCCACAGGTTCATGGAGAGTTAAAAACCATATCTAAGTTACTAGTAATATTTTCTATAGATAAAGCTATCAATATTTTATCTTATGCTGTAGCTCCTATAATAAACCATCAGTTCCCTTTCTATGACCTTTGGTTAATGGTTTTACAACCTCTTGGAATGTGCTCTGAGTAGTAGATTGTTTGGTTATTATCTAGAAGCAATTACATGGTAATCTGTGTGAGACAGGCTAAGTCCTCATTGCA